CACAACGCCATAAACCATACTACACTTAAAAGTCTACAGGCAGTGATAAACTCTGTCTTTTGGACTTTTCTTTTAGGAACTTAAGTAGTATTCTGTTAAAGAATGAGATGTGGAGGAAAACAAGTCCCTCCAATGTCTATTCAAGTACCTGCTGGCTGATGGGGACCTCCATCAACTTCCTCTTTTTTACTTGCAAGCACTTCTGAAGCCCTTAAAGTATTCCCAACAATTACCTGAGTAACGAATTAAAGGCAAGTGGATATTGGTGATTTTCATAGGAATAGCTTAGCCATTAATTGTCTTCATTTTGCGCTTTATACAACAATTTATATTATTCACTTGGCTCTTAATGAATATCTGGTGGTTTATGATTTCAACTCCAATTAATAGTCTCACACTAAATATAGATATACTAGTGAAAAGGCAATAAGTGATAATAAAGATTTGCCCCATTCTGACACAGAGGAATGCTGTGACAAATGTATAATTAGGTTGTAATCAATACCTTTTTTATTTATCAATGCTGTTAAAAGTAGATTTTAGAACTTTAAAAACTGTTAGAGCCTTAATCATCTATTCTATGTGCTATGTTATAGAGCAACTGCTATAAATTTTCTGAATTTTGTAACAAAAACCAAAAAGGCACCATCTACAAATCGCATCAACACCAACTGACCATCCCTTGGATTCTAAACATTTCTGTATCTGATATCAAAACTCTAGGCCATTCATTCAGTATTTACTCATCAATTATTTCTTTTTTTATTTTATTTTTTAATTTTAATTTTATTGATTTTTTACAGAGAGGAAGGGAGAGAGATAGAGAGCTAGAAACGTCGATGAGAGAGAAACATTGACCAGCTGCCTCTTGCACACCCCCTACTGGGGATGTGCCCGCAACCAATGTACATGCCCTAGACCGGAATCGAACTCGGGACCTTTCAGTCAGCAGACCGACGCTCTACCTACTCATCAATTATTTCTTAAGTACCTATTATTAATATTGGCCAACACAGTGAAGATATAATATTGCACTCCTACAACAAATGGCGAACCATTTGAAAATGCTTTAATTAAACACAGTCAAGTTCATATTGAGCAAATTAACATGGGAGATAAAATGAGGGATAGATGGGTCCTTGCCCTCTAGAAGCTTACTTGAGTAGAGAAATGTGCAAATCCTGGCACCTGAAGACAGGTTTAGGGAGCTCATAGAAATAATCAATTAATGTTTTAGCAGAATAAAGAATTTATTAGTGGAATTGACATCTGAGGATCCTCAAAATGACTAGGAATCCTACTGGTAGAAAGGGAGAAAAGGGAATTCCAGGTAGAAGAATCCACATGAGCAAAGGCCCAGAAACATGATAATTCATAATCAAACAGCTCCTCGTTAGTATAGTGGTTAGTATCCCCGCCTGTCATAATCAAGTGTTAGGTACAGGGAGCAGTCTTATGCAGCAGTGGTAGAAGATGATAAAAAAGGATGATATTGGCTCTGGCTGGTGTGGCTGAGTTGACTGAGTGTCATCCCATGCACCCAGAGGTCATCAGTTCAATTCCCCATCCAGGCACATGCCTGGGTTGTGGGCTCCATCCCCAATAGGAGGCTCGCAGGAGGTAGCTGATCGATGCTTCTCTTTCTCTCTTCTTCTCCCTTCTTCTCTAAAATTAATAAAAACTTATATATTTAAAAAGGATGATGTTAGTGGATATGGGTAAAACTTGCCGAGAAAAACATAAATACCTCATGATATTTATAAATTATTTATAATTATTTAAAAAATATGCCAAGTGCTATGCTATGAAAAAACACAATTGGAAATGGTTTTATATTTTTGTGACGCCCACTTGTTTAGCACTTATTTTTTGCTTTGAAGCAAAAATAAAAAATGCAAGTAGTAAACTGAATCTCTTCAATCTTTAATTACCTTCAAGTGGAAATTCATATACTGAAAAATGGCAAAATTTTATTCCCTAGTTCAGCAACTCTTTAAGAAATACCAATTATAGCACAATACTGAAGGCTGATTTATCAGAGAAAATATAGGTTTCTCTCTGCATGCATGGAGCTCACAGTCTTGTGGAGTTTAGCAAGATATTCTTTCTCCCTCCTCTCCTGAACAGAAATCCTATCCATTCTTCAAGGTCTCGGTCTATTCCCTTATTTCCATAAAGTACTATTTGTACTGTTTTAGCTCCTGCAGGTTTATCCATTCTCTGATGTTTCATACTTTGTAGAAGTGGTAGCATTATCATACAATTTTGGTCTTATGTCATCAGGAACTAATCTCTATTAAATGTGCCTAAGCTCTTTCTCCTCAATAAGATAAAAAAAAATTTCTTCATGACAAAGATTTGGGATGGGGTCAAGGGCCACATTTTCTGAATATTTGGTAATACTGAGCAAGGCAGCTAGAATATTCCTAGTAAAAGCATTTGAAAGTAACTGTGAAACATATTTACGGGAAGGGTGGTTCTTGACCATTCCAAAAGAGATGTCAATAAAATGCGTCTTAGCGTGTACACCTCACAATACTGGTGCAAACAAAGGGGATGTGGTGAGAATTTCTTAATGGAATCTCATATGATGTACTCTTCTTTCCCCTTGTTATTTATTTCAAAATATATTTTTATTGATTTCAGAGAGGAAGGGAGATGGAGAGAGAGAAGGAACATCAACAATGAGATAGAATCATTGATTGGCTGCCTTCTGCATGCCCCGCACTGGGAATCGAGCCTGCAACCCAGGCATGTGCCCTGGAATCAAATCCGGGACCTTTCAGTTTGCAGGCCTAGGCTCTATCCACTGAGCCAAACCAGCTAGGCTCCACTTGTTATTTTAAAAGAAAATTGTTCATTATTTCCTAAAGTTGTTGTATATTTAAATGTCCCTACAGGGCCTAGGCAACAATGCAATCAGTCTTCTATTTCAAATAATAGAATAGGCTTAGTTGAACATTAAATTTGTAAAAAAGAAAAAGAAAATACTTGCTTGATGTTGCATAACTACATTTCCAACCAACTTAAAGCTGCAACAAATGACAATACAGTTAAAATGTTAAAATGGGGAAGTCATTCTGTAAATCTGACCTATACTTTGGCATTTTGAAATAAGCTTCTTGTTTGTTATTTGCAGGATTCATTAAAAGTGCTTTAAAAATTGATTTGCTTTGAACAGGCATCTTGATAAAGTACAACACAGTATCTAAATTAAGTATATTGCTTAAAGGAACCTAAGTTGAAGTTTAAGATGATTTATGTTGATAGAACTAGGACAAGTTGGTTGTCCTTTATTGTAGCCTTTAATGCTTGAAATCATTCTGTTCAAGGTTATTTGAGCTTCACTATCAAGAGCTTCTAATTGGTATAACCATAGTTCTGACCATCTTATCAATCTACAGAATTGTTTGAGATGAAATTTTTCCAAAATGAGAAAACAGCCCAGGGTGTTTAGGCCAGGTGCCAGGCTATGAGACTGAAAGGAAACAGCTATCAAGAAAGTGAAAGAATCCCATGAAAAAGTTATTACACTATATAAAGTAGAATTTGTTCATCATATTGTGCTAACCCAGATTTCTTCGTTTTCTGTTTTACAATGGGTACATTTGGAACCATTTATTCCTATTAGAAGACATTCCTTTTTAAGAAGTAGAAAGGCTTTTCAAAACTATCTAGGAAGAACATGTTCCCTTGGTGTTATCATCATTAGTATTGTTTCCCCCAGAAGAATATATATATATATATATATATATATATATATATATATATATATATATAAATTTTATCTTTATTTCACTGATCTATTCCTTCTTCCCCAGCCTCTCTAGCCATATCTGGGCTAGAGCAATATGAGAAAGCATTTAATAATAATAATTTTATATAGGTATATAGATATATAGATATATTTTTATAACTATTGCACAGTCTAATTCGAAAGCCAGGCAAAATGAAAACAATGTACCGAAACACACTGGGCAGAATGTTCACTCTATTCTCAGGTAAGTAGTGGTTGGCTACCATTAATGGTAAAATCTAAGATGCCACAGGCAAGACAGAAACAGCAGTCTTCCAAACCACAAGACAAACTGACTTTATGAAAGAATCATTTGAGAGGCCAAAGAAGCTCCATATATCCACAGGCACAAAGGCTCTGCCTTGGTGGCATCTTGTGTTTTCATGTTTGGCTGTTTAATACTCCTGTTTGCTAGCCATGTAGAGCAAAAGCAATTAACCATATTTCTCAAGGACAGACACCTATGCCTCTGTTATTTTGTACAGAGTCTAGCCCATGATGGTGCACTTAACTATGTTTCATGAACAAGGGAACATTCTACCCACAAGTATGCTAAGAAATCAACTTCAATAGAAAACATCCTGGCTGTCTCATTGTTTCTCATTCTGATCACAGAAACAGATGTTGAAACAAACCAAAGAGCAGGGTACAGCTAATCCAATCTAGGATATCTCATCGAGGCCCAGGAAGCTAATAGGATTTATGACATCTCACCACGTCTCACGGTTGATAGTGATGCATTCCAAACACGTGATAGTGTAGTAGAAAAGGCAAAAGTAAAAATGAAAGCAAAAAATAAATCCACATCAAGGGCATCTACAGCCATGTTAGTGTCAAAGAATTAATGCTACAAGGAGAGAATATGATCTACTGATCATCTGTTTCTGTAGATGAAATCTCTCCTCCTTGCTTCCTAAATCTCAATTGTTTTTATAGTGTCCATTGCTGACCAAAAAGTATGTATCAGAAAAGAAAATAAATGAAATAAAGCTGATGCTGGCTGTTACTTATTTGAATTCGTATTTCAAACAGACCTTTCTAGCTGTCTGAAGTTTTCCTTGGAAGATGAAGGATAAGACAGCCTCCTGTCCTAGGCATATAAAGCACCGATTTCCCTGTTGGCAGTGACTAGTTAACACGGGCAATCAGAAACGCGGGTCCACATTCACATATCAGAACGTTAGACGTTTGGGTGCTCACTGACCTTCAGGTTGGTATTGTGCTATGATCGTCACTGTCTGTCCAGCCCCCTTCAGTGCAGCAGCAGCCTGTTCGTGGGATGCTCCACGGAGGTCAATGCCATTCACCTGAAAGACAGGACGCCACAGGATGTTGGTGTTTCATAAGGGGTATTATTCTGATTGACAGAAGGACAAAGTTTCCCAGAATGGAGAGTCTGTTTAAGATTATGTCACCTCCCTAAAAACCCCTCATGTCCTACCCAGGCATTTGTGTATTATGCTCCTGAGAATTTTTAGGTAGCAGACACATGAAATCTCATCTTGTGGTGTTTGTGCTATGGCTTGACCACGTTGAAACTCTTTTGTAGGCCCACTGCCACTAGGCTCTCAGTGTGTTCAGTTCCTGTGCCTCTGTGAGTTTCCTAGATTTCTGAGGTGGATAGAAGCCTTCAAAATTAGAGGGAAGACAGGGTAATGAAGAGAGACACGTGTAATGTGCATAGACAAGCATGCACTGACGGATTAATACATTCAGATAGGGTTCTGGGGGCACTATACACAATGGGACTGACTGGCTGCCCGCCAAAACTCCCTCTTTGGTCAGAGGCCTGGTCCCATCATCCTGAGCTCAGTTAGATAGGCCTGAGCTTTGTTCCAGAATAAATTTGACCGTCCCATTTCTCATGTACAATTCCAGTGTGGCTTCTGACAAAATGAAATAGAGAATGCTTGCAGTTTATGTTGCTGCTGCTAACTCCCATTTTGGGGCCCGTGCCAGAAGAGAAACAGAGCATCTCCAAACCAGCACAGAACTGCCGAGAGGGAGAATTCATTCTGAAGTCAAATTTAATGAGAAGCAAAAGCTAAAATCTTTCTCCAATCAATTCGGTCTAAATCAACACAATGTAATTACTGAGTGCTTGTCAATGACAAGGCTCCCTGTCTGCCCCAGGAGAGGCACTGTGGGTGAAGAACAAAAGTGAACAAGACAAGTCTGAGGAAGCCTTTCTGCTTCAACAGAGCTCACAGTAAGTCCAGTTCTCTAACCTACACAGAGAGTGATTTTTGCAGATGATACCAGAATTCTGCTTTCTTTTATTTATAGGGAAGATGGCCACCTCCCATGAAAAAGAATAAAATAACTGATCAGCTTATCTATCCATAAAATAAAGAATCCTATTTGGCCTCACATGAATCCTCTTTGACAATGATTCTGGATTGGTGGGGGTTGCTACTCTGTTTCCTTATCAGGCCTGGAACATTTGTCATTCTCAATTCCGCATCTTGGACATCTCATAGTAACCTTGTTAAAGTCTCCTTATTCACTTTTATTTATTAAAAAATATTTTTATTGATTGAAGAGAGGAAGGGAGATGGAGTGAGAGATAGAAACATCAATGATGAGAGAGAAAGTTTGGCTGCCTCCTGTGTGCTCCACACTAGGGATCGATCCCACGGACCTGGGCACCTGCCCTGACTGGGAATCAAACCATGACCTCCTGGTTCATAAAGTCGATGCTCAAATACTGAGACATGCCAGCTGGGCACTCCTTATTCACTTTTAAAACTTTCATGGTCTCTTCCCTGGCTTTCTATCATGGTAACTCCTTACTAAAAGCACTGTTTACACAGTAAATTGGGAACCCAGCTGAGCTAGGGGTGGGGGCCCGCCTGTGCCACTCAATAGCTCAGTGACAGCTCTATGCCAAACTGAGCCTCAATTCTCTCCTAACTCTCTGAGCTAGAATTCTTTGATTCTAACAGTGCCTTTGAATTATAAAATTTCAGATTAACTCCTTGGTAGCTGATCGTCATTTCAGAAATTGTCCAGGCATTGATGGAAGAGACAGGAAAAGTAATTTCATCTAGGCTTTTGTTTACCGGAAACTGAATACACAAGTCAAGGATCACATAATCTCATGTCCAGCAATTTCTCTCATCATCGACCTCCTGATTCATAGGTCGATGATCAATCAAGAAGTCACACTGGCTGTTTGCTCTTTTAACATTTTATCTGTATATTAAAAACATCAGTGCTCTATTTCATATAAATATTCTTACTAGTTTGGTGTTTGTATTTTGTGTTATTGCATTTAACTATTTTAGCTTCTAACTTGTATGTTACTTCTTGTCATATAGAAGTTTAAAATGTTTAGTCACATTTACCACTTTTTTTTCCCTTTTAGCTATTAAGTTTTGTGTTATATCTTCCCCTCTGTAATATATTTACTAGTAATGAAGTAAAATCTAATAGAAATTAACCAATATGAAATACAGTATACAGGTTAGTTCAGTTTCAGTACTGAAAGAAACTTAGAAACTTGTTCACCCAGCACTTACACAGTAGAGATAGTACCCATTACCCATTATAGAGATATACCCTTAAGGCATATCAGAGTCAATGCAACCAACGCTTCTTTCTCAGCCCAGGATTCTTTCCACTGTAGCAGATGTTCCCTATGATGGGTGTGTGTTTATTTTCCACTGGACTGGTAGAAATCTTGTTCATCTTAGGCCTGTTTCTACATGGGCCCCACATTTGTAGAGCTTTGGATGCTGCCATCATCCTGTACCATACCACAACTGCCCGGGGCCCTGTTGATTTCCCTCCAGGGTTTAGCATACATGTTCTCTTTCAGTCCTTTAAACTTTTCAAGGTCACTTTGCTTCTTATGTCTCTCCTCGTGAGTTGAGTTTTTATCAGCAACCTTTGCTCAAATAACATTTTCAGAAGCATTTGAAAATAGTTTACATCACTGACATGACATTTCAAAATACCAAGGGTGACACAGACTCATATATTTATTATTTCTGTTTTTCTACTTCAATTTGAATTTTCTCTTCTTGAAGCATAAACTGAGAGAATAAATGCCATTAAATACTGTTGAGATTAATAATGACAGTCATTGTTAACATTCACTGATGATCAGGCATGTTGATATCTAGAGGGATATTTATTCATTATCTCATTTAATCTTCAGAAGCCTAGGATTACTTTTCTGATTTTATAAATAAGAAAACTGAGCTCAGTGAGAGTCACTAGCTTTCTTCAAGGTTAAATAGTTGGAAGAAGTTAAGAATTTAAAATAGTCTAACTAAGATTCTTGAACTCTTACTACCATTTCTTATTGTTCTTCCTTCAATAGACTGTCTAATTCTGAGGGTCTACACCTGCAAGATTCTAATTCTGAAGTTTGCTGTTCAAGGTCCCTGAGACTGACAGCCCACAATTCGGTATGACATGCTGGTCAGCTCAGAAATGGGCTCAAGCAACCTGGTTTAGACATTATGGCCCAGCTTATAATGATGAGAGCATGTAGGGTTGAAACAAAGGCTTTGGGAGGCTAGAAAAATTCCATCGATTGCCATCTTATTATGTATCAATATATAACTGGATCATAGAAAACATTAAATCCTATTTATTATGACATCCTTTCCACACTAAGTTAGTAATGGATAGGAAGGTTAGGACTTCTAGTTAATTCAAATAGATATAGTTTTTCTTTCTTTCTTTTTTTTTTTTTTGGTGAGCATTATGTTTGTTACTTAAGCCAGTTTGTTACTTGGCCTGGGGCTCCAAGTTCCCTGAATAAATTACTATATATGTTCTTTAGAAATGTATTTATTAGTATTATAGAAAGAATAATATAAAAATGAGAGAATTTCAGAAATGGGGAGAGATTTTGTAATCCTTTGCAGCCATTAATATATACCTTTAAAGGGATATGAACACATTATTCATATGCCCTATCCCTCACCTCCACCATGTTGAACTTTTATATTTCTCTGATTCAGGCATTTCTATCCTTGCAAAGGTTGTTTTCCTTATCTAGAACATAATTTTTCACCCTTTCATCACCTGGAAAACTTCTCCTAATCTGTAATGATTCAGACTAAAAAGACTCGTGGAATGTGCTTATTTGTGAACTCCTAAAACGTAGGAGCTTGTCTCATTAGAACTTGTTTCCCTAGCAAAGTGCCTGGGATATAGTAGGTGAAGAGGTGAGTGAATAGGCAAATGAATGAGTGTTAGTCACACTACATTATCCCAGGACAATGGTCATCTAAGATTTTTGACCCTGGTCCATGCTGATAAAAAACTCAATATCTTTCAGAGAAATCCATTCCTTTTGGGGTCAGCTCCAAAAAATAAAAAAAGTTATTTGTGTTGAAACTAAATCATCTTCCTGGTATTTTTCACCTATTGCATCTAGTCCTACCCTCTGAGAGTTCACAGAATTTTCTTTTATTATGATTTTTTTTCATGTGATCCTCTTTCTAATATTCTAAAAATTAAATTTATTGGGGTGATATTGCCTAATAAGATTATATAGGGTCAAGTGTTTCTCATATTTGAAGAGAGTTTTCTCTTTTTCAGGTTAAACAACCTTACTTCCTTCCCCATCCCTTTATATCACTTTCATCAAGTGACAATTTGCATCTGTTTGCATGCCTCCTGTGACAGGAACTCTCTTCTTTATAGTCTGTCCATCCCATTTTGGGATCGCCTTTATGAGTGTTATCTTTAGCATCTTTATATTATTTAATCCATCATAAAACTCAGAAGAGATCATAGGAGGTCAATTATGGCAACTTGGGCAGTCACTGTAATTATTTTCCTTTAATATACTTCTTGTATAGTATCTAGAAGTAAACAAAGTGCTAAAACAAACTCTGCTTTTTTAAAATATCCATTCAGTAATTTCCTCTTCCAATTTAAGAAAAGGAGTGAGCCAGAATGACACATAACCATTGTTGAGTCACTGACCACCCAGTAAAGGACAATGACAGGTAAACACACAATTAAAGCACCCAGTGATAAGCACTATGACACAAAAAGGTCAGTATCCTCTGGGACCCAGAGGAGGGACCCCTTCAGAAGTATAAAGAGGTCTGGGAAGGCTTTCTGGAAGAAGTGACATCAGAAACAAGATCTGAATGAGTTATCCAGGAAGGAAGGGCTGTGGAGAAAGAGATGGGCAGAGGAGTAGCAATATTTGAGGAAGAGAGGGAAGCAGATAGGATGGTGTGGAAGTGAGTGAGGGTCTGGCATATCTGAAGAAAAGAAAGTAGTTGTTACTGAAGGGAAGAGAAGGAAGAAAACAGAGTGGGAAAGAAGTGAGTGA